TTCTTTTTCTTTTTAATTTTTTTATGTTTATTTATTTTTGAGAGAGAAAGAGACAGGGGAGGGGTTGAGAAAGAAGGAGACACAGAATCTGAAGCAGGCTCCAGGCTCCAAGCTGCCAGAACAGAGCTTGATGTGGGGGCTCAAACTCACAAAAAGTGAGATCATGACCTGAGCCAAAATCAGACATTTAATCGACTGAGCCACCCAGGTGCCCCCAGTAGCCAATTTTTCTAAACCAAAAATATTTTGCAGGAGCCAGCATGTCTGTCATATGACTTGATAACAGAATATCAGAAATAGTCTATTGAACAGATTCTAAGATATGCCTTAATTACAGCTATCTTGAAACTTTTTTTCTGCTTAATTTTTATCTTTATCTAAATGTCATTATACTGAATGCTGTGACATGGTACTGAGTAATGTAATGTAAAAGCCAGAGGACCTCTCTAATAGATACAAAAATGCTCTCAGATCCTACAGCTCCTGAGCAGAGAAAGTTAATCACCAGGAATAAGGCATTAATCATCAGAGTGGTCAAACACTCCAAAACTTTAACAAGGTAGATCTGCTAAGTCAGGTTCCTGATTGGATCCTGACACATGAGATGAGATGTCTGGTTTGATGCCTCCCAAAATCTTGAATTTCCAGATTCCCTAAAACATTCTGAAGCCACAAAAATGGTCTGCCCTTTCCTTCTTGGAATCACGTACACAGAAGCTTCCCCCTCCTAAGACAACATGTGCCTTCCTAACCTCCATCCACCTTCACCTCCTCTCCAGACCCTTGGGCCTATAGCCAGGGTTATGTCACAATATAACCCACCTAAGACATACTAGGCCTAACAAAGGAAGAAAGGGAATATTCCACAAAGAAACTGCAAGATCTAGCTACTTTATATTAGTCAGAAGAGTACATATGAGATTAAATTCTGCTCAAAGGGGCTGGAATTTAAGTATTAGATAAGAGTTTATCGATTAGAAGGCACTATCCTGAGATGCAGGATTTACAACCAGTAAGAATCTCAGAAGATGGTATAAATTCACTACTAGGACGGTTCCTGGAAACAGAGAAGGTAAAGGCTCATATTAAATATTGTTGAAATGCCAGGAATGCTGTGGCAGATGGCAGAAGGGGGATCATGAGTGTCTGAGAGTAATTCTAGAATGCACGTGCTAAGTAAGACCAGAAAACCCATCAAATTACTATGTTCCACTTGAAGGTCCAGAAAACACACCATATACAAAGCAATAAGGAATATGCCAATGAGAAGATATCCACATTAGTAAGTTTTGTGGTGGTTCTTTTCTAAAGGCCAGAACTGACAGAAGGAAAGGCTGTTAAAAGAATTAGGGTCAATGATAGCAATGGGGATGATAGGACCAGCTAAGGGTCAGAAGCCATGAGAAGCTAGGTGGACATAATTATCATTAGAGTGGCAAGGCTGGGGTTAGTGAGGGGCTGACCCACAGAGAGATAGTTTAAAAATACAGCATCTCTAGAGGCAAAACAGCTGACAAGGCTACTACTCAATATGTACAATCAAAATAAATCATAGATGAATGAACAAATCTGAGGGAAACTGCCCCAGTGAAGTCACAATCTCTCACTCAGTTTCCAAACCTGACCTAATTTTTTAACTCAGAACCATCTAGAAGCCTGGTGGGTGGGGGGTGGATGGATGGTGCCTGGGTGGCTCAGTTGGTTAAGCATCTGACTCGTGATTTGGGATCAGGTCATGTTCTTGTGTCTCGTGAGATGGAGGCCCATGGTGGGCTCCATGCTCACAGTGTGGAGCCTGCTTGGGATTCTCTCTCTCTCTCTCTCTCAAAATAAATAAATAAACTTAAAAAAAATCCAGAGGGAAAGGTCTTCCAACACCATGGCAAGAATACAGGGTAATAATTCCCTTAATCCTTCTCCAATGGAACCTATAGCCCTTTATTCAGTAACTGTGCTCTGGGGACAGGGGATACCCAAATATGTCAAGGGCACAGAGTTGACAGTGATATCAGAAGACCTAAAGCATCTATATAATGTCAACCTCCTCATTAGAGTAGAGGCGTTTGGAAGCCAGTAATAAATGAAGCCCTGACCAAAGTCTAGTTCATAATGGGTCCATCCATTAGGACTACAGACTGATTTCCTCAGTCCCCAAATGCATAATCAGAACAGACTTAGTAAGTGCCATAACACCCATATAAAGTCCTTGGCCTAGGAGGTAAAGAGCTATAGTTGTGAAAAAAGTCAAGAGGAAGAATTTGAAATTGACCCACCCAACCCTGAGAATGTAATAAGTAAAAAATACAACATAGTATTGGGTGAGGTGGGGGGGGATTGGCAGAAATCAGTGTTCCCTTAAGTATCTAACTGGAATGCAAGGATGATTCCAATGAAGTTATCCAAAGCTGTTGGTGGTTCCACATTGCAGCTCAACTTCTCTTATCCACTCCTATTTCTGTCCCCTCCCTTGCAAAGGGGTTCATTCCAAAGGTACTCCTTAATGAACTCCATCTCGGAACCTGGTTCCTGAGTAAGTCAATTTGCAACAGTCATCTTCCACCTTGAATTTAAGTTACATGTTCTTTTTAAATAATCTTGGGCTTATCTTCAGAACCATTTCCCAATTTAATTGGTGTCTCTTCTAGAAAACTTTTACCAAAGCAGCAACATGCTAGAAATATTTTTGAAAAATCTTTGGGATTCTTCTCTGGGAAGAGCGCATATAGAATTCCTGATATACAGGTGCTCTCTGCATTTAAAAGTATTGACTTTTCATCAATCTCTATATCCTTATCAAAGATCTCAGGTAATCCTTCCATTCACTGTTTTTTAAAAAAAAGCTTTTCTGACTCTATATTGACACAGAGCATTCAAAATTAGCTCATATCTCATTTTCTCCAGAAAGCTTCTCACTGATTCTAATAGAATTATTTCTATTTTATTTCATCAGCATTTAAGTATGTATATTAAGTATATAAGACATACAAACTATGTTCATAAACTTGTGTAACAGTTTCTTTGTAAGTATACTGAAGTCGTGTATATAAAGATAGAATCTACTTACTCAAATAGACAATAAAAACAATTATGCTAAGAACAGCATTTTCCTCTTCTTTTATAGTGGCACAATGTTCCCTACATACTCTCTGTTTTGGGGTTTTTTTTTTTAATGTTAGTGCATTTTTTGAGAGAGAGATGGAGACAGCATGAGTGTGGGAGGGGCAGAGAGACAGAGGGAGACACAGAATCCAAAGCAGGCTCCAGGCTCTGAGCTGTTAGGACAGAGCTGAACGCAAGGCTCAAACCCACAAACTGTAAGATCATGACCTGAGCCAAAGTCAGACACTTTACCAACTGAGTCACCCAGGTGCTCCTCTGGGGTTTTTTAAAAAGAATTTTATTTTTACGTAATCTCTACACCCAACGTGGGGCTCAAACTCACAATCCCTGAGATCAAGAGTTGCATGCTTCACCAACTGAGCTAGCTGGGCACCCCTAACATAATCTCCTGATTAGTGTTGCTACCTAAAAAGTTACAGGTAATTTCAAAACATTACATTATATATGAGAAACTACTAGAAATTAAACTACTAGAAAAAAATACAACATAGTATTGGGTGAGGTGGGGGGGATTGGCAGAAATCAGTGTTCCCTTAAGTATCTAACTGGAATTAACTGTACCATGCAATCTTGAGCTTAAACTGTACAGTTTTCCAACTATTTCTATGAATAAGTACAGCTTAACCAAGTAAGTTAATAACAACAATAAATAAATCAGGCATGTGTGTTTAAAAAGTAGCCCATGCTAACTGGCAAATATACTCTTCCTTGAAACCTTGGGCAATAGGAGACTCAATATATTCTAAATATTGTGCAAGCTGATGAAAGCACTTTCTGCTGTTGCATACAACTTCTTAAAATTAAACCTTACACTAAAAAAAACCCAGAAGTATGTCTCTAGTTACAGCTCATTCTAATGATGAGTTTATTTCTATGAAAAACCAAGGCAACGTATATGTTTTAAAATAGTACTTGGTTTTTGTGGTAGTAGCAAATGGGATGACTGTCCATTAGTGTGACAAAATTATCGCAGAATACATTACTAAATTATGGTGGAAATTTCTCTGTTGAAAGAAAAAAAAAATGGAAAACTTTATAGTAGTACTTGGCCCACAATCAAGTGCTATTGAAACTAGGTGAAATACAGTAGTGCACTTTAATCATATACTGTAGATTTAATCAGAGACTCATGAACTGTGATTGGATGTCCTGTTTCTTAAACACCATTCTGGACTTGTGGCTTATACTAACTCACACTTGCTCCCCACTTCCTCTGCTTCTCCTACCACAAAAGGGTCAGATACACCCACAAAGATGACTAAAGATCACATTTTATCAGCAGCCAGAAATGAAGTACAGACTGCCAATAATCACAGAAAGTCTTGCTCAGGTAATTTGGTCACTGACTACTGCCTCCTTCACCATAATCATGTATTTCAATAACCACAAGATCTAAAGATTTTTGTAAAAGTATCTTCAGGAATAGCAACAGAGACAACAGTTTTTTTAATTTTTTTTTTAATGTTTGTTTATTTTTGAGAAAGACAGAGTGTAAGCGGGGGATGGGCAGAGAGAAATGGAGGCACAGAATCCAAAGCAGGCTCCAGGCTCTGAGCTGTCAGCACGAAGCCCAATGCGGGGTTCAAACTTGCCAACCTCGAGATCATGACCTGAGTTGAAGTGGGACACTTAACTCACTGAGCCACTCAGGCTCCCCCAGAGACAATCTTTTTTGAGACAGATACATGACTTTATCATTTAGTCACTAATAACCATGACAGTGTATGTGTGTGTGTGCGTGCGCCCGCATTTCAAACAAATCCCTTCCAATTACTAAACACACTACACCAAACTTGGATACTTGTGTAGTTTATTATGTTAGGTTATCTTTAAATTTTTGAAATTCAATTCAAATAAAGATAAATAAAGATTATACGTACTTGGAAGAAACTGCCTCCATGAATTCATCCAAAAAGTCATCATATTCAGGACCTCTCACTCTTCTCTGCCGTAGCCCAATGTACAACGGATCTTTAAGTAAATCCTATTAAAAAAAAAAAAGTTACCATAGATATAGAAATAATTATAGGTATATCATTCATACTTTCTGAGCTTAGAAATGGAAATAAAATCTTTCCATACTGAGGCAGAATTCACCTACAGAGTATTATATTTTATTAGTATTACATATCTACAGTATTCATATGTCAAATAAGAAAAGTAATTACTAGACATTAAAACATTCTGCCTTGGGGCGCCTGGGTGGCGCAGTCGGTTAAGCGTCCGACTTCAGCCAGGTCACGATCTCTTTCAGCGGTCCGTGGGATTCGAGCCGTCCTAGAGACTCTGATAAGCTCAGAGCCCTGGAGCCTGCTTCGATTCATGTGTCTCCCTTCTCTCTCTGCCCTTCCCCTATTCATTGCTCTGTCTCTCTCTGTCCCAAAAATAAATAAACGTTGAAAAAAAAATTTTTAAACATTCTGCCTTATTTTGGGGATAATAAAAGGAATTAAAATCTCTCAGTAGTGCTAATTAGAAGACTTCAATTCAGACTTTACAGGCAAAGTTTATCATATAGAAGAATAATACTGAATTTTGAAGTATTACATTAGTTTAGGAAATGGAAAGATACCAATTCTTTTCTTAGATTTATTTTGTTTTTGAAAGTAAAATCTTCAACAAACATTTTAATTACAGTTTTAATATATTAACTGGCTGATATTAAAAATAAATTTTTAGCCTTAACTAAAGTTTTCTTAAACTTTTTAAATTTTACAAAGCTCAAGTTTACTCTGTTCAAGTTTTGGTATAAGTAATAGTGTTTTTTATGAGATCAATTTTTTCAATGTATAAAATGCATACATAACAAAAGCTCTCAGTAAAGTAGGAACAGTAAGGTAGGAACTTCCTCAACCTTCCTCTATTAGGATGCTTCCTAATAGAGGGCATCTGTGGGAAAACCACAGCTAATAATATATTTAACAGTGAAAGATTGGACGCTATTCCCCTAAGACTGGAAATAAGCAAAGATATCTACTATCACTATTCAACACTATACTGGAGACCCAAGCCGTTACAATAAGGCAAGAAAAAGAAAACATAAGAATATAGGCTGGAAAGAAAAAAGTAAACTGTTTTTATTTGTACATACATGATCACGTACATGGAAAATACTTAGAAATCTATACACACAAAATAACCCACTAGAAAAAAAATATGTGAATTTAACACTGTAGATCTAAGATCAACATACACAAATCAACTATATCTCTATATACTAGCAATGACCAGTTGAAAATGAAATAAAATATATAACCTCATTTACAATAGCATTCCAAAACATAAAATTCACAGGGATATATTTCAGAGAATGTGTGTAAGCCCTATACACTAGAAACTACAAAATATTGCTGAAACAAATTTAAAAAGACAAACTGCTTTTGTGGACTAGAAAGAAAATTGCATTCTATGTCATGTTATAGTGAAACAATGGAAAAACTGTCATCTTCTGTAACCTGAAACACAGACGATATACCTAAAGAACTTGTGAATCTGGCTAAGGAGATACCCGGGCAGAATGCTGAATGTGTAAATTGGCTTCTCTTAGCTGTATGATAAAGTCAAAACAGAGATGAGGTAAATAAGGAAATGTTTAGCTTGTGAGCAAAATTTAAAGAGAATACAGAGGACACAAGACTTGCTTGTGAAAGATTTCCAAAGTAAAATAAGGCCTGCAGTCAAAGATTCAACTGTGTAGTTAGCACACCTTTTGTGGAAAACTCTGATTTAAATTGGAGCCTAACCATCTTGACTAGATAAAAAGAACTGGTTCTGCAGAATTCTGATATGGCAGCCAATGTCAGGAGAAGGTCTGTTTTGAAAAGAATTATGAGTAAGTCCTTTCCTTAATGAAGTAGACAGTCTCATATAAAAAGTCTTCAAAAAATTTTTTAGGGTACTGTACTATTTGGACGATTTGGAACAGAGACACTCCAAAATGAAAATACTTCTCTGGGCCCCCAACTTTCCACAGGCAGAGAGCAGACAGAGAAAGCTATTCAGCTGCAACATGGCCATTTCTTATGGAAAAGGAGGGATAGCTCAAAGGACAACGCCAAGAGCTCAGACTCAGATCCAAAAGCCTAAAAGAACAATGAACTACAGAACCACTCTTAGGAAACACAACTAGGCCCCCTTCAAAAAATATGCCCTCCCCCTAGGTAGGCAGCCTGGCAACATGTGTCCAGTGGCAATTCAAAATTGCCATGAGCCACTGAGAGTAATATGATTCTTATTCCTCCCATTTTGAATCGAAGTGTTGATTATGGTTATTCTGTTCCTGCCTCACCACTGAATAGCTAAGAGCAGCCACACCAAGGAATAAAACACAAGAAGCTTCATTTGCATCTAGACCTGATTTAGATGACAGGATCCTGAACTTTGGGCCTGCTGTTGTTGTGGGATGAAACTTCTGGGAACCTAGGATGGAGATGTGCATATTTTACATGTAGAATGTAAACAATTTGTGAAGGATGAGAATCTAGATGGAAAAAGGCTGTGATAAGCATCCTGGCCTTCCTACCAATCCCAGTGAATCAATAACATTAATAAAATAGTAATTGTTAGAAGTCACTAAATTTGGATGTGGTTTATTATGGATAAATGATATGTTTTTGCAGGTGTTGTGATGTTAAAAGGTTAACCATCTGAATCATCTGAGCTGGGATTTGCTAAAAGTCAACAGAAATTACAGCCCAGTTCATACTTATTATCCTAGTATAGTTATTAACAGCATCCTCTTTCAGTGGGTTTGGCCAATAGATTATGTGGTCATCCTACTTATAATGTACTACACAACCATGAGTTAAGGCTTTCCAACTAGCTGGAAGTTAACATATTTAATCATATAAATGTATTTCAGATGAAATGTAAAATCTAAAACAGTGCTGTTGTAAAGCCCAGCTGTTTTGTGAGGCCTGAAAACTTTAAACAATCTACTGGCAGGCTTCTTAAAAGCTGAGGTTGAAGTGCCAATGAGCTACTAATGGCTGCCAGAATTAAAATACCTTCTCCATGTGTGGAATATATTTGGACTTCGAAAATGTGAATTAGAAAAAGAACACAATTGAGAAAAGATGTTACACGTCCCCTCTTCTCTTTTCTCTCATTCTTTCCCATGCTAATAATTAAAGTATATATCATAAAGAAGTCTGACTACAATGAAGGGTCAATTATGAAGATTTATAAACAAGATAAAGCTTTTGAATTAAACCAGGAAGTTATAAAATTCTTCCAGTCATAATGTCCTTGTCAAAAGTTACTATTTTTAAAAAATGTCATGACAATTAAGGCTTGAGTGCATTCATGGAGAGCTTTCTGACCAAAAAAATTAGTATCTACACAAAACAATTTAACAAGATTACCCAATTTTGATAATGGCTCCATAGACCAACTAGCTTGGCATACAAGTGATATTAATTCATTGTATTAAAAACTTCTTATGGCCATAAGTAAACATTTACTACATCTTTGATGGAGAATAAATGAAAGACTTGATATTAAGCAAACACTTAAAAAAGGTTAGACTTTCTTTAGCAAGAGATGTCACATACAATACATGTGGTGTCACTAACGACTTATAAGCATGAAAGAAGGAAAAAGAGTAGGGGAAAAACAGTAAAAGACAAAACATATGCAAATATAAGAGAGTTCCAAAAAAGAGAGAAGGAGGGAATACACTGGTGAAGCTAATTACTCATTAACAATATCCCATTTCTGGAAACTTGGAAATTTTTATTCTAAGTATTCATTTATTTAATGCTAACAGAAATCATTATCAACTTTCACCTTGTTCTGATCTCTTACATTCCTGCCTTTCCAATATGGAGATGGAGAATTAAAAAATATTTTCTTAAGAATCAAAAAAATAATTTATTTTTCATTCCTAAATAGACGTTAGTGTGTGTTTAGGGTTGCCAGGCATCCTGTATCTGTGGACATATCCTAAATTTAATGATTTTTATCCTGTGAACACCCTAAATATTCTGTATTCAGATTTTTTCCAACAAGTTACAAAAATCTGGTAGTCAGAAAAAAAGTTTCTTAATATTTTAAGGATTCTTTTTTCATTACAAAGGCAATGTTTGCCTATCAGAAAATTTGAGAACACTGAAAAGTAAAATTAGAAACAAAGAATACCAATAATCTCTACTGACTACTAGTATCTTGATGCATATTCTTCTAGGTCCTTTTCTTTATGTCTATGCATGTAGAATATTATCTCTCCAAATGTATGACAATATCATAGACTGTTTTATAACCCCTTTTCACATAGAATATATCATGAGGAGTTTTCAGGTCATTAGATGAACACTTTAAAAACTTGTGATCTGTATTCAAATTCTGGCCTCCTAGAAAGGATGAACAAATTAACATCTCCACCCAATGACACATAAGTACAGATCTTTCTTATGATAGACTTACATCCCAATAAACCCATCATAAATTGAAAATATCTTGAAAATGCATTTAATACACCTAACCTATGAAAAGCATAGCTTAGTCTGGCCTCCCTTAAATGTGCTCAGAACACTTATATTAGTCTACACTTGGGCACAATCATCTACAAAAAGCCTATTTTATAACAATGTGCTGGATATCTAATTTCTTGAATACTCCACTGAAGAATAGAATGGCTGTCTGGGTACAGAATGTAAGCGTATTGGCTGTTTAACCTCGTGACCGTGTGGCTCACTGGGAGCTGCAGATGGCTGCCTCTGCCCAGCATCACAAGAGAGACAGAAGATCATACCACATACCACTGGCCTGGGAAAAGATCAAAATTCACAATGTGAAGTATGGTTTGTACTGCATGCATATAGCTTTGGCACCAATGTGAAATCCAAAAATCCTAAGCCAAACCATCATAAGTCAGGAACTGTCTGTATATCTATTTTGTTGCAGCTTCAAGTAAAAGTATTATCTTTCCATAAATATGTGTGTGTGTGTGTGTGTATATATATATATATATATATATATATATAT